TGCATTCTGGGTCCTTGAGCTCTCTGTCATAAGGTGGATGGCATGCTTCCTCATTAGTCCTCTGGAATCCTGGTTTGTTATTACACTGAAGAGTTCAGCAAAATAGTATTCTATCACAATCATATACTGTAATTTGCTCATCCATTCCCCAATCTATGGATATTCCCTCAGATTCCCTTTGTCACCCCAAAAAAAGTTGTATTTTTGTACATCCTTAGAATTTGTTTTGCTTAGAACTAATTCCTTCCTTAACCTACCCTCCTCCCTTTCTTTTTCCCTCCTTTATCCATATGGAGTGAAATGTATTTCTGTACCCAACTGTGTGTCTGTATTCTTTGTTCTTTTGCTCAGTTCAGATGAGAGTGAGGTTCAAGTGTGAGCCACTGCACCTATCCCTGATTCATTTGTACCGATGTCTACTTGTACGCTCTATCATGTAAGATTTTTCCTAACCTTCCTCTGCCTTCCCCCACAGTGTATTCCTCTTTCCTTCAGTCTCTTCTTAAAATTATCAAGACATAATAGAACCTCTCCCAGGTCTTATCTAATTGAACTCCCTCTATGAACTCTGATGATGATGGGGTTCAGAGGCAACGGTATCATCTCCCCATATATGAATGTAAGCAGTTTATCCTTGTTTAGTTCTTTATCAATGTACATTCATGTTTATCTTTTTATGCTGCTCATCACTCCTGTGTTTGTACTTCAAAGTTTTTCCACAGCTCTGGTCTTTTCATTAGGAATGCCTGAAACTCCTCTATTTCATTACAAATCCATTATTCCCCCTGCAGCATTATACTCAGTTTTGCTGGTTAAATTATTCCTGGCTCTAAGTCCTTATCTTTTGCCTTCTGGAATATGATATCCCAAGCTCTCTGCTACTTTATAGTGGTGGCTGCTAAATTGTGTGTGATCCTTGATATGTGAATTCTTGCTTTCTGGCTGACTGCAGTATTTTTTGTTTGACCTGGAAGCTCTGGATTTTGGCTATGATCCTCCAAGGAGTTTTCACTGTGGGATTTCTTTAAGGAGCTGACTGATGGATTCTTTCTACTTTTATTTTGACATCTGGTTCTAGGAGATCCACACAGTTTCTTTTAAGATGCCTTGAACTAAGGTATCTAGGCTCTTTTTTTGGGCATGATGTTCAGATAATCCCTTGATTCCTAAACGCTTTCTCTTTGATCTCTTTCAAGGTCAATTGTTACTATGTTACTATAAGATACTTTACATTTTCTTCTATTTTTCAGTCATTTGACTTTGTTTTAATATTTCTTGTGCCCTCATGGAGTCATTCCCACCTATTTAGTTCATTCAAATTTTCAGTGAGTTTGTTGCTTGGACAAGCTTTTGTACCTCTTGTGCCAAGCTGTTAATTCCCTTTCCAATTCTTTCTTCCACAGCTCTCATTTCTTTTCAAAATTTTTCCTCAAGCAATCTCATTCCATTTATAAAAACATTTTAAAAATATTTTTAAAAAAATTCTTGCCTCTTCTCTTCTAAGAATTCTAGTTGAATTTATGTCCAAGCTGTATTGTTTTGGAGTCGTTCTCTTCTGTATTTATGTTTTGAGTGTCCCTGCCAACATAATAGCTCATTATAGTCGGGTTCTTTTCATGTTTGCTCTTTCTTCCTGAGACTTGACATTAGGGCTGGGCTCTGCTACACTTCTAGGGGTAGTCTTATTGCTGCTTTCTTGAAGTATTGACTGTTGTGCTATTCCAGGATCTTAGGAACAGGCTGGGGACCTACAAGCTTTCAGTTCTCCCAAAATGGTCTGATCTAGGGCAAAATCTAATTGCTGCCCCCTTGGTCTGATCTTTGTAATTTCCTGACCAGTGTTTGGGTCTGAGAAAGAGTAGACTGCTGCTGGACTCTCTATCTGCCAGCAGGAAAGCTCTGTTAGCTCAGAGCAGCAGAACTGTAGACTCTCCTTTGGCCTGAGATTCTCTCTTGATCATTCCTCTGCAGGTTGGACTAGACTTTGGAAATGAAACCCAGACTGACTTCTGAGGTCTGAGCTACACCTCTGCTGCTGTGGTGTTCTGAACGTCCTCCTTTCTCCATACACAAACCAGGGCTTCCCTAAGTAGAATGCAGGCACATATCCTCTTTTCACTCTACCCTGGATCTGCCATATGCATATGCCATATGCATATACATATATATGTGAGTATAAACATACATACACACAGATTTCTGGAGTTGGAATCACCAGTACAAATGGATGCATGTGCAGTACTTATTTTTTCCACAGTCATATATACTTATACAGACTTTTTCCACAAGTGATCAAATGAAAAGCTGTCACAAGTATATAAATAACTAGATATGTTAATAGATTTCACAGTGCTATTCTTTAATTTTAATTTTAAAATGCTTAACATCAGAATTTTTATCTTCTTAGACCAATCCCTTCAATTAAAAAAATTATAGATGGAGACTCTTTAGCAACTATATCTGACCACAAGTATTTGAAATTCTAGAAGGAACTATAGTGGAATAAGAAAATACTTAATTTTTGCTTCATTTAGACTGAGAAAACTAAAAGGCATCAATACCCAGTGCTGAATGATGAACACTAAACATCCCAAGTAGTTCTATGTGACCCTACAAAGGCAGTGGAGTCCCAAAGGATCACACATTCTACAGAATGTATATCACAGACAGACAAAGATGATGTGAGGCCACAAGAGCTATCAGAGGGACATAAGCAATTTTTAAGCTCTGGTAATTCTTGCTTTAGGTGCTCCAGTTTCTCTGCCAGGAGCATATCTGTCTGCTTAGGCATCTAGTTATTTATCCTGTTCACAGGTTAGACTACAAAGATCAAATTCCTTCAACTTCTGCCTATTTTCAGGATTACTGCAATCATCATCCCAACAGAATATTACTAAACTCTCAAATTTTGCCTCCTGGATATACAATGGATTCTAAAGTCTCCAAGAGATGCAGACTTTAAACTGTGCTGAACTCACTGCAATAGAAGTTGTCCAAGATCTAAGATCCATGAGTTTGAGATAAGTATCAGATTTGCCTTGAGTCAGTCAGTCACTAAACACTTATTAAGCCCCTACTTACTTACTAAGTATCAGGTACTTCCACGAGTGCTAGAGATACAAAGAAACGCAAAAGACAGTCCCTACCTTCAAGGAAGCTAGATGGCACAGTAGATAGAGTCAGGAGGACCTGAGTTCAAAACCAGCCCCAGACACTTACTTAGCTATGTGATTCTGGACAAGTCACTTAACCTTGTTTGCCTCATTTGGAAAAGGAAATGGCAAATCACACCAGTATCTTTGCCAAGTCATGAAGAACTGGACACAACTAATCAACTAAACAACAACAAAAACCACCCTCTGACAGGGTCAAAAGAAAGAACAGAATAAATGGATGGGCGGGATAGGATTAAAGGAAATAGAGTTAGTTTTTCACAGCATGTTTACGATGGAAGTGTTTTGCCTAACTGCACATATATAACCTATATTTAGTTGCTTGCCTTATCAATAAGGGTGGGTGGGGAAGGAGGAAGGGAGAAAAATTTGGAACCCAAAGTTTTAAAAACACATGTTTAAAAAAATGTTTTCACATGCAACTGGGAAATAAGAAATACAGGAAATAGGGTACAGAAATCCATCCTGCCCTATAGGAAAATTGAAGGGGAAGGGGATAAGAGAAGGGGGGAGAAGAGATAGAAGGGAAGGCAGACTAGGGGAAGGGGTATTTAGAATGCATGCCA